GATGACGCAAGTCCTGTCATGTAAAATCTGTTAACTGCAGTGTGAAACCAAACCAAAACTAACCGAATGTATCAAAATGTATCAAAACATGAACTTTGGTTCGGACCTTGGTGCGTACTTTCAGGTGTGAAAGTCGTCATCATCTATGTGGGCTGCATCTCCTTACTTGACATTGATTGGTTTGTAAACAGTTCCACGGGTAGCTTCAACAAGAATGAACGACTGAGGGATGGACATTTAATATCGATGCCACTGTATTGTTATTATGGCATTACTACCTGCAGCACCAACTAGCCTATAGCCTACTTGAGGCTCGTTCAAATTCGCCAAATAAGATCCTCATTGTGCGAACATTATATCGTCAACGCGGGGCAGGAAAGGAGGAGAAGACAGCAAGCAATCCTTCTGCATCTCTGTTCAGTGAGAGACCAAAGACATGAGTGGCAGTTTGCTTCCATAATGGCTGTCTGTAGCAAAAGATGAGCTGTCACGGGAGATTTATAATTGTGTCCTCATTTCAATGATGTTGTTTGTTTCCGGTTCACACGTTAACCGACGAGCTTCCTGTAAATGGTCTAAAAGTCCGAATCATCCAAAAAATGCTTTCACGCTAGAAATGAACTGAACCATGGTTCAGTTTGATCTGGACAGAGACTACCTCTTTACGTTGGACCAAATTTCGTCTGTTTGGAGACCAACAAGGTAGGTGTGAAAGCCCCCTTATACTCCCTGTCGGGTTCTTTAGGGTTTTAAATGTGCACATACTGGCTGCTTGTATGTTGTGAATAATGTGTGTGATTTGTGTTATGTACTGTTGCAAACATGCTGCTCTTAACTAATGGCCCCTAGTGGGATTTATAAAGTAGACTGAATTGAACCTGCTCCTACTGTTGATATAAAAAGTTCATTCTAACCCCTGACTTATATAGGTAACGGCTCCACTGTGTAACTGCTGCCCCACGTTAGTTCCGGCTGCGGTGTTGTTTTGTTCCACGGTTTTGTGCCACAGTTTTGTTCAACTCCCACTGGAAGAGTTTCAGAAGCATTTCAAGAGCTGAGCGTTTAACCTTCCCCACATTGTCGACTTTCTCTCTGCGACCCAGTCTTCTTTTGTCGTCTGCGAGGCTTAATATCCCACAGGTAGAATTTCAGAAAGAGTCAGAGCATTTTGCCTGCCTGATTTTGCTGACTTGTTCAGACTCTGTTTGATTTGGTAATTTGTTCTTGATTTTTGTGCTTCTACCATGGTTAAGTAAGCTACATAGTTAAATTGTTTATTTTTTATCTGTTTTAATTGTGTTTATTGTTGATATATGAATGGAAATCTGCAAAGGGTGTTTTATTTTGAACATTGACCAGATTCTCTATGCCATTCTGTTTATAACTTGCCCAGTTCAATTGCTCTGTGCTGCGTGACACGGCTTCTGTCAAAAATAAACTCACCGCATTTTCTCTGCAGCACGTCCGGTGGGAGCACAATCATTGACTAGAAAGTGTGAGTCCGGGGTTAGGGCACAAAAATACAATGATCCTTATTTTCAGGCGATGAACATGTAACACAAATGAAAACATGCTTATGAATCCTATATTCCATTTTTGCCATATTTTGCCAGTAGACCCTCCTAAATGTTATATATATATATAACTGGTTCTTCAAGGGCAAGAAAGTCATATTATGCTTAGTGGCCATCAATGAATGACTGTACAGACTTCAGCAAATTCTCCCTGGTAAAATATGGTTGAAAAGCCTTTTTGAATGAAAACAGGCTTTCTCTTTCCCTGGACTCTAAATCCATAATTCTTTGTTTGTGTGTCACTGTGATAGCATTTATCTCACCCAGGCAGATGAACTGCTAAACAGAGAAGTAGTTATGGTTCCAAGTTATGGTAATGAAGAAGGATTACCAACAAATCCAGTGTTAAATCTGCCAAGGTTTGTTTTAATCTTTAGTGTCAATGTTTCTATTGTTCTGAAAGAATGTGAGCGTTTGTATACATTTGCTGAATATTTAAAATATCCCGCAGAACACACACATATTGTATACACACAATGAGTGAAATCGGTAATCTGGGTTTATAGTACTCCTGGCTCACTCTTACATTTTACTGCAAATGACTGACAGTTTGATTAAATATTGGTCTCATCCTGTAGTTTTACAGAAGGACCAACTTTCAGGCTCTCTGTCTTTCAGTCTGTGGGGGTCGCTTTTAATATAACCACAAATATCATTTCAGATGGCCTGACAACCTGTAATTATAGCTTGACAGTTTGCAAGCTACTCACCACATGAAAGCAAAACACTGATGATACAGATGCTGTTGGTCTATTTAACTACACTACTGTTCTTACAATAATGACATTTTATTATTAGAAGCACATTTCAATATATATCACATTAACAGACCATGTGGCTTGTCCATTTTAATAAATAATTAGCACATATTGTATAGATATATTTTATATGTTGCATGTAGTGTGTGATTGTGGTCAAAAGCCATCAATTTAATTTTCATTGAATCTCTTTTTAATGCAACTAATCATTCGTGATGACAGAAACATGTCTATAATAAAAGGTACTTTAATTAAGCTGTATCACACATTATGTATTTTCTAACAATTCTAATAATTCTAATTGCTAACAACAATAAATAAAGAGAAACAGTAAAAAAGAAGCTATGATAATGAGATAAGATTTGACTACAAACATATGAGTAAGCAAAGCACAAACACAAAATTTAATGTACTTTGTTTTGTTTGTCAGCATCATCGCAAGCTTTTAGAAAGAGGGAAAGGTATAGCATCTGCAATATTGTTCAATAACAACAAAAGGAGTCAATGTAAGTGGAGTCTCTGGGAAGGGTGATTGCCTCACTATGAATTGGTAATGGAAGTCCTAGAATGTGGGGGCAGCTGTATGTATAGAAGAGTACAAAGCTCCTCCGGTCAGATAATTGAATAAAGAGACCATTTCCTCCTTTATTGTTTTGGAGCTTTGCATCTTTGATTTGTCTAATTTGGAAAGTTCCCTTCTGTAGAATAACGGCCAATTTATTATGCTTTAAATCTGCATTATTACATGTTTTAGTGAGAGGCCGTGAGTAAGAATCAGCTAAGGTGTTGTCACTATCCCCAACGTTATACTTGTTTTTGTCTCAGCCAATGCTATGACTCCGAGTTTCTATTTCCCTTTAATATGTTCCCTTTTCCTTTCTTTGTCTTAGGTGCATCTCAATTCTCTTATTTGACATTTCCTCTCTCCTCGCTTGAACCTGAAGTCATTCTGGTCTGCCATCTTGCAGGTCATTGCAAAGCTCTTATTTGCACTCCGAGGAGCAAGGAGCAAGGAGGTCTCTGTGGGCCATGAGCGAGGATACACTAGAGCAGCCTTGACGGAAGTCTTTTTACTGGCCGACACACCCCCTTATTGGATATTGGTTATTGATTGGGCGTTGCAGCTGATCAGGCTGACCTGAAAGCCTACATCAAAACATCACTGGAGTTTCATACCGGAGTGAAAATGGATAGCAGATTAAACTCAAGTGTTTTCTTCCCAAGATCATATTCTGTGTTATTCAAAAATTAATTCACAGAATATAATTCTCTAAAAAACACATTTCCCCATTTCTTCTCTCCTCACATGGTTTCACAGGGACAAAGACGCAAGTGAGGGAAACGTGGATGCAATTATGAGAACTGTGAGGACTGTGTCTAAGTGTGTGTGTGTGTGTGTGTGGTGGGCACTCACAATGGGCACCTGGCCAAACTACACACCTGTTACCAATCAATTTATCAACCCTTTGGTCAAATACTCCCGGTTTCCTGTGACTCGTCACCAGATTGTTCTCAAGTTCATGTGTAAGATTACCTATGGCTATTCAGTCTCCAGTGTTTTTTTTCTGAAGCAATCAGAAACAGAAACTTTCCAATCATGTAAGTTTGTTTACTTACTAGCAGTCTAACTGCTTTACATAATGAGTAAAGTAGTGAGCAATAACCTATGGTCAAAGAGCTAGCAGGCTAACCTGCCAGCTAAAGGGTTGTTTTCAGCCTTCTAGCTGGCTGCTAGCCAGTAAGCCTGCTTGATAAACAGACACTTCAACTGGATGGTGGGTTAGTTCACTTCTGGTGCACTGAGCTGTGTCCCAACACCAAGTGACCAAAAGTTAAGCAATCAGAAACTAGAATTCTCAATAAGATTTACATTGATACATGCATGCATGCGTATGCACTTTGGAGAGTGCTGTTCCAGTTTATGTCTGCAGCTGTGCTGAAGTTTGTCAAGTGCTGTAAATGCCAACAAGATTTTTTCTCCACTGTGTTGAAATTAATTCCATCAGTCTGGATGCAGATGCAATATAAAGATTTTATCCAGTCTACATCATCGCTCAATGCGTGCTATCAGTTAGGAAGTCTTCTCCCTCAATATCAAAGCCTTAAATTGAAGGACATCGCTTCAATCAGATAACATCAAATTGCACTCTGCCCCTACTCACACATAAGAGTCACTGTCTAATGTTTCGGACCAGGACTAACTTTATATGATGATAAGAAAGACATGGTTTCACATACTATTTTGTACAGTAAGTGTTCTACTTACACATTATTTTCAGTGCTTTTCAGTATTTTCTAACTTCTCAAAATAAAACCCAAACTATTTACATGGCAAGACAACACCAAGGGGAAGAAGGGAAAAAGCACAGTTTAAATCTGAACTTAAGGCTGAAATTGAATTAAAAAGAAGCATTTACAATTTCCACCACCTTAATGTGGACATACTCAGACAAAGAGTATTTCAGATGAGGTGCAAGTTCACACCCAAGGGGTGATATTTCACAATATCAACCATTTTATATACAGTGCAGACAAACCTTCACACACACAGAGAAACCTGAATATTATCCAACAAAACACAGCACGTTACGCATTAAAATGCAATATAAATCTGTGCAGACAGGTGCAAACCCACACGCACAAACACCACCAGACCAGAAAGTCTCACCTGTCTAGTGCGATGCAGCACAGGTGCATTATGGACGCTGTGGTCAGCAAGACATCCAGCGAGGTCCGGACCAGGCAGAAGGTCTCGCCGTAGATCCAGTGCTGATGGACCAGCTCAATGGCACCGAACGGCATCACCAGCACCGACACCAGCAAGTCGGCAAACGCCAGAGACACGATGAAGTAGTTGGTCTTGATTTTCCTGACGGGGGTAAAGAATATATATTCCATCAAACATAATCATTTTGGGGACTGAATGACAAAAGTGCAAGAGTTTAGACAACCAGCAATCTGCCATCATTCTTGTGTACACTTCTTGTGATCAATGAATCAGTAATGAGGGATCATAATTTAAAGAGGTTGTATATTGCTTTTTATCTTTTCCCCTCTCCTTTATTGAGTTATGTATCGTTTTGTGCATGTAAAAGGTTTGGAAAGTGAAAAAGCCACCCCGAAGGGAGTTCCCATCTCCCACAGACAACTCTGCTCTGAACTGCCTGAAAACAGCTTGTTTGTGTTCCAGCCCTTTCCCTGTGACGTCACAGTCCGACATAGTCCGACACGCCCTCAAAAACACCGATGGAAAAATACCGAGCTGCAGCACACACCTCTCATCTCTCTTCCAAACATTAGCTATCCTCCAGGCAGTCAATGGACATAAAGTTGTCACTGTGATGTAGAGACAGAGCTCTGTTAAAACTTTATGGATGAAAGATACTTTTGTTACAGATTAATAACTCACAACTCTGAAACTCCTAAGGGGACATTTAGCTGAACTGAAGCGGTGTTTATTGGCTTCTCACTGACTCCTCCTTCTCTGTTTCTGATTGGCTACTAGGCCTTAACTAGGAACTGCGCATGTGCAACTCTCAACAAAGGTGATGTAGAGGCAAGATAGCGTTCAAGGAGGAGGAGGAGCTGCAGCAATGTGCACTATGACAAAAATATGCTGTTTTCTGAAAATTAAACCATGTAAATCTGTTCTGGTACAACACCTAAATAAGCACAATACTACCTCTTTAAGATCCATATTTATGTCATTAATCATAATTGAATGCAAGTGGAGTAGATGAATACTGCTGCTTTTTTGTTATTTAAAACAAGACTTCCCTCTTATAAAATAATATATAAATATATAAATATTTGAATATATAAAAGGTTCAGTTTTAGATTTTATTAAACTACTTTGGCATTGATGTTTCCCAGTGAAGCTGAGTTATGCAGTAAACTAAAGTTGAAACAGCAAGCAACAACTAATATCACCCATTTTTGTAAAAACAAACAAAAGTGTTTTCTGGGGGGAGAGGCTGAGGATCCATGAAAAGCAAGTATAGAAAAACAACTGAAAAGAAGTCCTTGTAATCATGAAAGCAAAACACAATGAGCAGCAGTTGCATGAAATCCATTTATAAGAATTGCAATGATCTTGCAAAGAAAAACCCAAATAAAAAACTTTCAATTTAAACTTCCTACATGAAAAAAATGAAACTGAATAATATTAATTGAATCACATTTAAATAATGGGCACCCTTCATACTGGAAAACAAGCTTATTTGCAAATTTGTCAACTTGTATTTGCATAAGAAGACCATGAAATGTGGTTAAAAGCTCCAGAAAGCTAGCAAGTACACAATCGGACTAAAAATTATTTGGTTACACTTGCTTAATTATTTGTGACTTAGGGCTATTCATGGTTTTGGTTTATCCCAGCTCGAAAACAGGGAAATTTTAACGCTGCAGCATAAAATGATAGTTTTGACACTAGCTTTGTGGCAATAGTTTATGTTTGGCCCTTTCATATTTCAGCATCACAATCCCCCTGTGCACAAAGCCAGCTCTTACAGTGTGTAGTAAACTGCAGTGCATGTAGGTGTATGCTAGCTGTTAGTACTATTTACGCTGTAGTGCCACAGTTGAAGGTTGTTGAAAAGAAGCCTAATGGATGTTTTCTTGTGCCTGTAACTGATGTGAGCTCCTCTGTCTTGTTGTGAATGTCATAACAAGACAACAAGAAGCAGGAAGTACTGTGTTTTCTGCCTAGTCATGAAGAAGAAAAACAGGACAGTCATTTGGTGGAGTTTTAGCCATGCATGGAAGTCGGCCATGACAGTCACCCAAACAAAGTGATTTGCTACAAATGGTCAATACAGCATCATGTTGTTTGACATGGGTTGGATTCATTTTGAATATTTTTTAAAACACATGTAGCCCTTTATTTGTGGTTTGTGGTTGTTAATACTTGTTAATGTGTTTATCGTTAGCTCCAAGAAATTATCTTTTTTTTTAAAAACACAAAAAAATTGTGCCTAAATATACCGCTTAATAATTGCCCTTACAAAACCTTCGTACTTTTACATATCAACCTGCAATTTGGTACACTGGTGAACAAGTGTGTACCATTTACGAACAAGAGTTTTATAATTCACTATATAGCAGGTTCACTGTAAGACAAAACATTAACCATGGTTCTGTGACGTTTAACATGAGTAGTTATTAGGAATTAACTAAAAGCATGTAAAATCAGGCAGACGCAGACCCCAAAAAGCAACTGCAGAAGCGGGTTCACTTCAAGACGTTAAAGTTCACTTCAAACAATCAAAGGCAAATAGAGGCAGACAAGGCAAAGTTCAGGTTCTATCTTTGCCTTCCAATACCAGCAAGGAGGGGGGAAATGAAATAAAATGTTGGTCCCATTACTCACAAAACAATTGATTTCAGGACAACAACAACAAAATGGGGAGGGGAGAGGAAACATCCATCATGGGACACAGTGGGGCATTACAAGAACTGCACCAAGTGAAAAAGTTTAAATAAGTCAGCTAATGCTCAGGTCTTCTCAAACACACAAACTTGAAATGAGTTTAAACTACAGAGAGAGAGAAAGAGAGAGAGATTAATTCTGCAAATTAGTAAAACCTTGGGATATAAAAGGGACTCGAGGGCTGAATCCACCTTGATTGCTGCAACTAACAGCCTGCAGAGTCTTTATCCCTTTCTCTGTGATAAAAGGTGCTTTTTTATCGAAGCAATACAGCTCTCACTGGTGAGGGCTGTGCTGTTCCTAAAAAGTATTGCTGAGATAACAGAGATTACGTTCTTTCTCAGCCACTGGGCTGCTCCAACGAACGCCACCTGGCTCTGCCATCCCTACACACAAAGCAATCTCAGACCCGGCTGTTCTCATCTGTAACACCACAATGGTGGAACGAGCTACTACATACCATCAGAGCAGGGGCGTCCCTCTCTAACTTCAAGAAGCTCCTGAAAACTCATCTCTTCTGAGAACACTTTCTCTTATAACAACTCTAATTCCAAACCCCTAACATGCACTTCCTGTGCTCTTCTTCTTCTTCTTCTTCTTCTTCTTCTTCTATCTCCTTACAAATCTCTTGTATTGATTGTATTATTTAGCTAACTCTTACTTCTTTCCCTAGGTATTTATCCCATACATGCTATTAGCTATTACTAGTAGTTATTGCTGCTCTGTATCGTCACTTGTAAATCTCTTACTGTATTTATGCTTTTTGATGCTTGCATATTGTTCCTCAAATGTAAGTCGCTGTTCAACAGTATTTTGTGGTGTTGTGGTTTCAAACTAATCTCTGGAGGTACTTTTGGCTGTGTAAGCACATGTAGTACCTTCAGAGGTATTTTTAAGTAAGTATTTTTTATTGTAATTTAATGTAATGAGAGATGGAGAAATTTAATTAATTCATAGTAGTGACATCTTGCTTAAATGCTACCTGGTAAAGTTATAAATCTTTGGTATAACAATGTAAAACTTAAGAAGAGTCCCTAGACAACAGGGTGATGATATTGAGTTTTGACAAACGGGATGAGATCTTATTTGAAGAACATTGACTGTGATGATTTATCTGATTTATTCGGTACAATATGTGCAGACTGGTTTTTGAGACCCTGGATTGTAGCTCTTCGCTGGATGCAGATGGTGAGCCAGTCCCAGAGATTGTGCACCCTAAGTTATACGATGACATCAGACCGCGGTGTGGCCAGCTGCTTCGGATCCCATTTAACAGGACTGACACGTCAGAAAGATCCACCACACGTTCATTATCCTGCCCAGGTAGAGATACAAATAACTGAAAGACACCGGACACTTTTTAATATTGTATTTTTTATGAAAGAGATCTTCTTATTCTGGGGATTGTTTCAAACGTGGTTGGTGTACTATGAGAGTTTAAGAAGCAATGTAATAAACCTGTCCACTGTTCTTTAATCAAATCGAGTATATTTCTCTCCCCTACACTACTCCTCAGAACCTAGGTTGGTAAGTTAGCTATAGTGCTACACTAGTGTTAAATATTCTAGACCTGTCTTTAGCATTCAAAAACTGTTATACTGTGACAACAAGGGGTCTTGATCATTCGTCCATATGTGACGACTTGGGAGTGAGAACGAGTTGGGTTGTAGATGGTTCATTTCCCCCCTCCCTTGGGGCGGCATTATCTCAGTCTGTAGGGACTTGGCTTGGAGTCCAACGCAAACCAATGCTGAAGGTGCCCACTGAGCCAGGCCCTGAACCCCAAACCGCTCTCCGGGTGCCATACGATGGCAAAAGTCAGTCTGTTGGGACTTGGCTTGGAAACCGGTGGGACGCCGGATCGAGTCCAACACAAACCAATGGCGAAGGTGCCCCCTGAGCCAGGCTCTGAACCCCAAACCAGTGGATAGTGAAAAGAAAGATGGAGATAGATAGGAGGCACCACGCAGCAAAGTGGCTCCTTTATTTATGTTGTGCATTGCACTGTCAACCAATAGTGTACATCAATATAATAATGATAATAATAATAATAATTTTGCTATGTGCAGTGTGACATTTTTAGCTGTACCTCATGTTGTTTTTCCACTGTGAGGTGCCTAACAACTCAAAACAAGGTTAAATCTGATATATATATTATGCAGCTGCACACAGATCTGATGTCACCCACACATGCATAAATACTCGCTCTCCTCGCCCTCACTGTCCTTGTATCTCTTTCTCTTTCTCCCTCTCCCTCTCTCGCTCTCTCACTCACACAAAAACACACGCACACAGGAGTCAGAGGCTTTACGTGGGGGCTGTCTTTGTAATCCTTCTGATAAAGTAAACAGAGTAATTATTATCAGATTATTCAATATAATGGTTTCAGCCCTATTTACCAATGACCAGTAGTCTGGTATGTTAGGTCAAATGCAGGTTGA